TTTGTTGGTGGTAATTTAGAAATAGTTACCTGTATTTCTCTTTCTTGTCCAATACATTACATTTAAGTAAGTTGAGTAAAACTAAGTTTTGTCCAATAAAACTTTCTGACACTGCTGCGGGGGCACCAGGCCTCTACCCAGGCCTTTGCTCCCCACCGTTCTTTCCTTTCACCCCCCCTCCTGTCAGCTGGCTATTCCTTTAATTTTACTTTATCAAGATTGTACAGTTCAAATTATGTACGCTAATACGTTTGCTTTCCTGTTTCAGAGAGGTTGAGTTGAGTTTTCTATGACTTAGAACTGAAACTCTCCTAACCTCACCTGGAGTCTCCTATATGCTAATCTTCTGGCCTGGAAAAAGGCTGCTACCATCTAGTTTGTGTAAACTTCTCTATTTTAAAAGAATATGTTTAACACTGAAGTTCTGTTTTGTTTTATTTTTTAAACTTCGTCACCCTGCGGTTGAGTGCCATGGCATCACAGTTCACAGCAACCTCAAACTCTTGGGCTCAAGTGATTCTCTTGCCTCAGCCTCTGAAGCAGCTGGGACTACAGGTGCCCACCACAATGCCTGGCTATAGTTAGAGATGGGGTATCCACTCTTGCTTAGGCTGGTTTTGAACTCCTGAGCTCAGGCAATCCATGTGCTTTGGCCTCCCAGAGTGCTGGGATTACAGGTATGAGCCACTGCTTCTTGCCAACATTAAAGTTTTCATTAATTAAAATATATCTTATAAGACAAAAAAAATTATGCAATAAAGTTCTGCAACTGTTAGGACACTATTTCACTCAGGAGACGTCTTTTAAAAATAACTTTAGGCTCGGCGCCTGTGGCTCAAGCAGCTAAGACGCCAGCCATGTACACCTGAGCTGGCGGGTTCGAATCCAGCCCAGGCCCGCCAAACAACAATGACCACTGCAACCAAAAAAAATAGCAGGGCGTTGTGGCAGGCGCCTGTGGTCCCAGCTACTTGGGAGGCTGAGGCAGGAGACTCGCTTGAGCCCAGGAGTTGGAGGTTGCTGTGAGCTGTGATGCTATGGCACTCTACCCAGGGTGACAGCTTGTGGCTCTGTCTCAAAAAAAAAAAACTTTAAAAAACAATGTAATACATGTTCCCAGTCTAATACCTCTATTATTTTCTACCTCTCTGAAAAAGATTTTGAGATGCTATACCTGGTGAACCAGATTCCTACTCTCCAGGGAAGAAAAGCACAGCACTATTCTTCATGTTGTCCTCACTCCCCACTGTGGTTATGTTCAGCTCTTCATACTCAGGGTTTATATATGGCTCAAAACATGTTATTCATCCATTTATATTTTATCTCATTTCAGAAAGTACATAGCTTACATAAAATGCACATGTACCAGCAGAAGATAATCATGTATAGATGAAAAGTAATAAACCAAGACAAATTAAAGATAATGCTTATTAAAAATTACAGGGGAGCAAGCCATAATACCTTCCTAAATTGAGCTATCAATTTAGCCCTGAGTTTTCTGATAGTCGAAATCAAAAGAAGTTACCAATATTGAATAACAAAAGAAATTCATTCTAATGCTTAACTCTAAAAGAATTTTTTCCGATGGACCAAGAGAAGGGAGTCTAGCATGCCCATCACTATTGTTTTCTGTGATTTTCTCTTACTCCCTATGCATATAAAAGATTCTTGCCATAATATAAAATGTGACGAGGAAACTGCTGGATGGGTTCAAGAAATCAGAAAAATACGTTTTGGATAAAGGGAGTTAAAGGGATCTGATGTTGTGACTCACAAAAGCATTATTTTCCCTCATCCACATGAGAAATATAAAGAAAAATAAAGCTAATTATTTTTCTATTCCCTCTTTATACAGATTGTTTCATTATTTCTTAACATCATTTTCATATGAATGAACTGGATTCAGTGATTTGGAGAGAAGTCATATGGCAGTCTGATTTGTCTAAGACACAGAAATTCATAGGCATTTTCACTATTACAATCCAAAAGATATAAATCTAGTTACTTGTCATACTCTTATTAATGAAGCAATCTTAAAGTGACAGTTTCTTAAATGTAGTAATACAGAGAAAAATAACACTGTGATTAGTCATATTACCATAGATCATGTGATGTAACTTATAAAATACCTGACATCTATGTATTTTTTAAAAATTACCTTTACAAATGCCAAAATTAACCCCCAAATCACAGTTTCTCTAGTAAACATTTAAAATTGTGTTAAAACTGATAGCGTTTTAACAGCTACAACTCTTCTGTTTCATTTTTGGACAACTGACGAGGAAATCACTGATGAAAAACTTTGAAAACATCACTCAGCAAATGAAACACCAATCACCACAGTGGAATGACGAATGTGACCCAGACAAATGATAAAATACTAATTCTTTGAAATAAATGGGTATAGACTTGTTGATTATCAGGAACGTACCAAACACTTGTCTGGACGTAAATATACTTAATAAGTCACATATATTGGATTTACATTGATCAATTTTCTCACAATTTTCACTCAGAAAGTGTGTGGAGTTAATTAGTTGAAAATAACAACTGCTGGCTCAATTAAATTCAGCAAATTTCACATTCTAATGTTACCATATGTACATTTGTTTGAAGAAATAATTAAACTTCTGTACTAGACATATTTTGGAGCAAAGTAAACAAATTACATTATGAAACATGGAAATATGTCTAAAAATACACATTTACTTTCCTCCTTGAAAATTAAGCATAAAACCATAAGTGAATCTTTAATAAATGCCTGCAAAAATTTTCAACTCAGTCCCTGATTGTATGTGTATAAATTTGACCCAGCTATTAATAACTTCCATGTAAAACTATGCAAATCAGAAGACAGGATACATTAATTTCTTGATATATGTACATTGAAACTTACATAAGTTTCTAAACAATAAAAATACAAGAATATTAAATTGGACATTACAATATGTCTGTTGGGGGGCATAGATTAAGAGTAATCAGTAGTGAACAAAATTTCTCAAACTTTTCCCATCCAAAATTCTGTCCTAAGTGTTCTTATCTCCTCTTCTAATACCCACTCCATTAAGAAGAAAGAAAGAAAAGAAAAAGAAAAAAGAAACCCTAGAATTAGGAGTCAGGAGTTCAGATCCATTTTGGGGGGAAATTTATAGGATTAAAAATTGTTCACATTGAAAAACAGTGCAAAGGACATTTTAATAAACTGCTAGTAGGCAAGTGTTAAGATACTCGCCTGTAGAAAAGCTGAGAATAATAATAACACATTCAAGGCTGCTTTTCACTTGGTACAGCATCTTGGTTGGATCTCACAGCACAGAGTGAGGCAGGGAGAGCTGAGGCAGAATGTGGGACATACAGTCCTGGTATGGCTATTAAGAGATTTGCTCAAGGTCAATCCAGAGCCTGGATCTTGGACAAAAGTTAGTAGTAGGGAGGGGGCATACTATCCCTTGATCTAATGTATTTAGGGGTGGTGAGTTTCAATCATGAAAGCCTGGTGGTAATATAGTTCTTTTTATTTCTTGTTTGATATCCCCTCCCTCCCCTCCTTCATCTCCACCCCCTTTTGTTCATTGGCTCATTGATAACCCAATGAACCAAATCACCCTTTTAAACATAAATTTATCACAGTAATTTATGTAGAAGAGACATGTGTACACAAAATTTTAATGCCAAGTTTATTACCATAAGAAATAAACTAAGCATGACAACTATTTCAGGAACAAATAAGTGCAATTTTATTTTAAAATATGAAAATATATGCCCCCAAATACTATTTTCATCATGACGTAGGCCATTCTCAGTAAAGAACTCAATAAAATTTATAAACTTTATATGAACAATAACAAATGAGTCATTCTATTTAAAGAAAATAAAAACTGTAGAAAGCCTATTATTTGCAAGGTACAGGGCAGGTGTGGTGTTTTCGCCTGTAATCCCAGCATTTTGGGAGGCTGAGGCTGGATGATGGCTTGAGCCCAGGAGTTTAGGTACTGTGGTCAAAAGATAGTTATAGAAGACAATTTATGTAATTTTATTATGGCAATAAAGCTCATAATTATGATTATTTACATAAATAATTCTCTTTTTATTATTGAAGAAAAAGTGCCAGTGACAATCTGCATTTTAGAGCACTATAGAAACTAACCTGTTCTATAGTTATCTGAAGTTCTGACAAATTTCTTCAGAGAACGTATGCTCAGGACTGTGACTGCACCAACCGAGTGCAGCCTGATCGGCACTTTACAGCAAAGTTCATAAGGAAAGGCTTTAAACAGTTAATAGCAAGGTGTTTGGTCAGCTTTCTTTCTTACACGAACTTTTGCCAGAAAAGGCATGTATGTAGAGAGTAGGAATTTAGATCTCACTTTGTGATCCAAACTCGAGTGCCAGGGCATCAGCTTAGCTCACAGCAACCTCCAGCTCCTGGTTCAAGTGATCCTCCTGCTTCAGCCTCCCTGTAGCTGGGACAACAGGACCCTGCAATACATCCGGCTAATTTTTTCTATTTTTAGTAAAGATGGGAGGGAGGGTCTCGCTGTTGCTCAGGCTGGTCTCGAGCTACTGAACTCAAGGGATCATCCTGCCTCGGCCTCCCATAGAGTTAGGATTACAGGCGTGAGCCACAGCGCCCGGCTCCTCCTTAGAATAAACACCGGACCTCCCTCCACAGACTTTGTGATACAGCGGAGACCGGACTTGACTCGATCTGAGCGCCAGGATCAGGGTTCCAGCGCCGGGCTCGGAGCAGCTAGTTCCTAGCGGATCAGGGCGGGTGTGTTGCCGGAGGCGCGCCCTATTGGCTACTCTGCCGGCCCGGCTTTCCGACACTTGATTGGGCGGGCCTGCCCTCTGTAGGCCCAGCTCATTGGAGGCGCTGGAGCCAGGGGGCGGAGCGGGTTCCCCAGGATTCTTGACCGAGCGCTCGCGTCCGCGGAGCCGGCACCGGGCGCGGAACCGGAGCTGTTCGGCCGGCGTCGGAGGCTGGGTCTCCTCGCCGATGTGGTCTCGGAGTGGAGTTCCGGGCCAGGGCTGGTTGCCGGCAGCGGCTACCAGTGGCAGTTCTCGGTCTTCCCTCAGCGGTGGCCGCTCCGAGACAGCATCTGTCAACCCTCCTCCTGTCCCCTCCTCCTCTGGCCGGCCCCGGCTCCGCTGGCTGCGGCCGGGAGGACGCGGGACCCGCGTGGTGAGCCCTTCAGCTGTCAGGCGGGCGGCGAAGCGGCCCGAGGGCGGCGAGAGACACACAAAGAACGCGGTGGGCGGCGGCGGCGAAAAGGGGTGGCATATTCCGGACCGCAAGTCCGCTCGGGCTTGGTCCGAGGCCGCGGAGACAATGCGGCCGGGATTGGCCCAGCGCGCCTTGGAGTGAGGGGCGCCTGCGCTCCCCCGACCCCAATCTGACCGTCTCCCGGCTCGCCCAGCCCCCTCCCGGGAAAGGGGCGCCCCCTCGCTCCGGCGGCCGGACAAGGAAGTCGGTCCGCGGCCGCCAAACCCGGCAACTTGCGAGCCGGGAAAAGTTTGCGGCGCCTCCGCGGGGCGGCGCGGCATGGCCCGCCCCTCGCGTCCGCGGTCATCGCGGGTGACTTTCTCGACTTGTCGTCAGCCGGGGCCGCAGCGCGGCCGGCGGGGACTGCGAGGAGGGCCGGAGTCCGTCGGAGGGCACCGGCACCCCGGGTTGCGGGTGAGTCGACTTGGATCGCGGTGAGGTCAAGCGGTTAGGGGTACCTGGGCTTGGGGAAGAAACGTGGAAAGAGCCTTTAGTACTGTTTGGAACAGGCAGGCGGTAGTTCGAAAGGCGTTGACATGCTACTGACTTGTGAACCGTATCCGTGGGAACCCTTTCGGGGCGCGTGCCACCAAGGGCTTGGGCAGGGGGGCAGCGGGGAAGGTAAAAAGGTTACAAGGTCGCAGACAGCCCTGCTGGTAACTGGCTCAGCTTGACCTTGGACAAGTGACTTAACCACTTAAATCTCCTCGTGAGTGATATATGGAGATACACCTACGTAATCTTTGATGCCTACCAGCTTTTAAAATACATCTCCGTTAGAGATTTTGGGGGGGCCTCAACGTGGTGCACGAGTTATGGAGCGGTAGGCCATAATATGTTCCCGTGCTCCTGGATTTATCCTTTCAGCACACTCAGAAATAACTTTTAAGTCTGGTGGTTTAAGACACTAATAGTTAAAGGTTTTTGTTAGTTAAAAAAAAAAAAAAAACCTAAATATTCACTGCTTATTTTTCTAATCTTAAGACTAGTCTACTTTGCTCCACCATTTGGAGTCCTAGGGGCCAGGATGGGGACGGAGAGCTAAGTCTGAGGGTCAAGTGGCAGGTGCCCTCAACACTCCCTTCCAGACCCAGGTTAGGGGGAGAACAGGGAGAGGGTGAACTGTGCAGGCGTTCAGTGTTTTTGTTTTTGTTGTCTGTACTGCTTTTTTCTACTGAAAACTTTGTTGAGGGTGAGGGAATTGAAGAGGGGAGTCATAAAGAAGGAAAAGAAAATGTCACTTAGAACCAAAGTCAATTTTAAATTAATGTAAATCTTCCTCCCAGGAACAGTAACACATAATTCAGGTACATCTTGATCTAATTTTAATGACGTGAAAATAGCTCCTGTGTGTTCAGTATCATTGACACCAAGACAGCTCACTTACATAATCTGCTTTGTTGGGATGTGTTAGTGGCATGTATAATTTTATAAATAATTAATGTTAAAGGTTTAGTTTGGCAATGGTATTGAACTAGTGTCATCACAGGTTGTATTGCAAAACAATGTTTATCGTGATAACCTGCATTTTTTTCCCACAAAAAGTAAAATCAAATATTTTTTGTGGCCAAAATTAACTTACACAGTGCATGTATCTTTTGTCAGTAGTGTACACAGGAGAAATTAGTAGTTATGCCATTCTGTAAATGACAAAGCCCTCCAGTTTTCTCACCATTCATGAGAGGGATTTCTAGATGTCAGGGGCTCTACTGGGCATTTTCTCTTCTCATGAAACTTAGAGCAACACAAGTTGATTTAAATATATATATGCATCATATAGATACTCAAAAATATTTGTGGAATAAAATACACAGGCAGAAATAATTAAAAATCTATCATGACCATCCTTAAGAGAATTATGATTATGCTTCAGTGGAAAGAAAGAAGGTATCAAAGAACTGGCAGAGAAACAACTGAGTTCCAATAACTAGTCTGAAAGTTTATACTTTAAAATAGGAATACACATTTGGAAAGAGACAAGGACAAGTGATAGGGTTTCTAGGAGAAAGATAGCATTATTGATTTGACATAATACATTTTATGACCTAGTTTTGTTTGAAAAACACAAACCTTTGAAAGGGTATGTTCCTTAAATAATGAGTAGCTGTTTGCATTGTGATTAGATGTCTAATTAAATGGCCTAATCATAACTCAGATCATTTGAGTGCTGTCTGATTTTTAAACTCATTTTTAAAATAACCTGAAATGAAAACCTTTAAGTTCAGTTACATGAAGGAAAGTGTACTTTTTGAAATCAACTAAATCTGCAGCAAAGAAAATTATCATCAATCTTAAACTAAATGTAAATTAAGCCCAGGAAATAGCATCTTGCCAAGAAGGTCTTTCCTCTAGATAAGCACTGGGTGTATAAGACATCTATGGTAGATTGCAGTGAGGTATTCTGCTATTCCTGAGGGCCCTGTGTAATATGTATAGACTATTTGGTGACATCAGGAATAATCTAAGGCCTCAACATTTCTGGGAAGCATACTGCCCTTATTTAAAAGTGACCACTCAACTTAAAACCTACTATTGATATTTGAACAAGCTGGGTTTTTTAATTCTAGGATATATGTTCTCCTCTGTGCAGATTTGCTAGTTTGGCAGTTTTGTAAGAGGTTAGAGCAGTGTGTGAGAGCATGGTCCTTAGACCATCTGTATCACAGTCACCTATAGTTCTTGGAAAACGTCAAACCCCCAGACACCTCCCATACTTAGAGAATCAGAATGTCTGTTAGCAAAATCTGTGTATTCTAACAAGCTCCTTCCAAAATGAGAGTTAATCACACTAATTTTTTTTTTTTTTTTTTTAGACAGAGTCTCACTTTGTCACCCTTTGACACCCTAATGTGTCATGGCATTATAGCTCACCGCAACCTCTATCTCTTGGACTCAAGCGATTCTCTTGCCTCAGCCTCCCTAGTAGCTGGGACTACAAGTGCCCACCACAATGTTCAGCTATTTTTTTTAGAGATAGGATCTCACTCTTGCTCAGGGTGGTCTCGAACCTGTGAGCTCAGGGCAATTCACCCACCTTGGCCTCCCAGAGTGCCAGGATTACACGAGTGAGCCATTGCTCCTGGCCTAATCACAGTAAATTTTAAGAATTAGTGTTAGCGTTTTCTTGCCAGTGTTGTAATGGTTAGTCGCTTTCTTCTAGAATTTAAAAAAAAAAAAAAAAAAAAACTCTCCAGGTGTTCACTGCTCTGATCATTTTCCTTATGTCACCAGACATGTTGGCCTCACCTCATAGAGAGTCCTGTGGCTAGAGACCCCCTCCTAAAATGTCCCTGCAGGTAAATCAATACATATAACCTACAAGCAGAGTTAAGGTTGTTTAGACACACAAGGCCCAAGAGACCACATTTCAGAGAACTTACTAGTGGGATATATACCCACCATCCTCACCAACCTTTTGGTGATTTGTGGGAGTGACAATCCCAGCCTCCCCTTCTCTCTTCCACTAGGAGGATAAGGTTTCAAGCAAAGGATTGGGAATGGACCCTAAGGGACTAAAGCCCTGAGAGAGTATAGAACAAGAATGCTGGGTAGAGAACTGTGCCCTCAATATGCTTTAACCCTCACGTTCGAAGACTCCAGTCCTAAAGATGGTAATTTGACAGGCAAGTATATGGCTAAAGCCAGGCAGCCCTACCCACTATTGTCAAAACTTTTATTTACAAACTCATACACTTTCTGTATAACCTCTGTATACACAAAATCATCAGCATATAAGTGAGAATTTTCATGTTTATTGGAGGGGGAAAAAAGCAATAGTTTAGGAGACAGGTTCAAAACCTGGGCCGGGGAATCAGCCAACCTAATACAAATCCTAGCTTTGCAGTTTACTATCTGAGCTGTATCCTTGACACCCTAAGCTTTAGTTTTCTTATTTGGAAAATAAGGATAATGGTACCTGCCTCATAGAGTTGTTCTGGAAATTATGTAAAATCATAAATTAAAACACCATCAGCTAATAACTCACACAGTACATATTTAATATGTATGGCTTTTAGTTGATTGCAGTAACTTTTTCAAATTTCTTTTTTAGCCCCGGAGAGTTTCTGTAGAAGAAGGAAAAGAGAGGAAGACAACATAGGAAGAGCTAAGTAGCTCTGGACACAGGGAAGGTCTCATTGCTAAATAGTAATTATTGAGCAGAAGGAAAAGGGGCAGGAGACGGATGCTGACTGCAGTACCTGCTAATGGCGTGGGTTTCATCACATTCCCCTGGCTCAGGTGCTGTCTCTTTTTCTCCCCTCCTCCTTTCTTGGGCCACCTTATTTAGCACTTAATTATATACTGTCTTCACCCACTTTGAAAAACATTGATTTTGTGGTCTGCCTAAAAGTTTTATTCCTGGTTTTGGATTTTAGTATCGCCTTGCAGGGGCTTAAGGATGGGGGTAGTCTCCCTTTTGGGATCTGGCTTTTGGAATCATTGAGGGGAAGGGATTTCTCTCTATGATCCTATAGGGATAGATCCAGAGTTCAACTCCAAACTTGCTTTTTTAGGGATGGACATGCCACAAAGACATGGAGACGCGGTCAGAGAGGCTCCTGCCCCCAGAGTTTTTACACAACATTTACTGTCTAGGGCTGTTTGTACTTGTCAAATACTTTCTTTCTGTCAGCTGACTTGTTTCTCACAACGGCCCTGTAAAATATTATTGTTAGACTCCCACGAAGCACACCAAGTCTTTTTCTCCCCCCAGCTCTGTTCTATCTTGCATACCTATTGCTAGGCTGGCCTTTGTGTTTATCACATAATAAAAATCCCATTATCGCCCTCTATTTGTTGCCCCATCAGATTGAGCCTCTTTCGCCTGGCTTCTCAGGTAACCTTATAGACAGGGTCCCAGCCTACTCTGAACACCACCTCTGCGTAGTCCCAGGAACATGGGAGAGACCGTGAATCAGCCTGTACCGTGTCTCTCATCAGTGCTGCCTCCCTTCCAGCCACCCAGATGCTGCTCATGCTTTCATGTCCAACTCCTCTTTGAAGGCTTCCTAGACAATTAACCGAAGCATCTCACCTTCTTCTGAATTCTGATGATAGCCCGTTATTTGGTCAAATATGTGATGGATTTGATATGGAACAGAAAGCCTTGAGATTTTAGGCTTCTCAGGAGCTATCATGAGCCAAGCCAGGTCACTCTATCTTTCTGGATCTGCTTGCTGATCTGTTGATGGAGAAGATTGGACCATATGATCTTGATGGTCCCTTCTCATTCTGAGGTTCTGGGACAATTGGCCTGGCTTACATGGGATAGACTGAGGCTCTTACTGAGTTGCTGGATGGAAATGTCAGTAATGGGCACTCAGTTCCTTCAGGTTTTATTCCATCCCGGAGATTTCTAATGCTGAACTTGGCAATATTTAAATGCCATGTACCTTTCCTGGCAAGCTCTTTAACCGCAAGAATGCAGGGAAGGTTAGCGGGGCGTGAGTTAGGTATCCAGATAACACATATGGACAGTACAGCATTATCTTTGGGAACGCCTTCTTGTGATATGGTAAATAGGATCAGCTACTGGGTAAGCCATTTATAATCTTAAGCATCTATAATTTACTTTGCATTTCATCTTCATTGGATAGTGCTATGTTGTGTTTTCTTTTTAATTATTTAATAATTTTAACATAGTCAAAACTCTAGGGTATCGGGCAGTGCCTGTGGCTCAGTAGTAGAGCGCTGGCCCCAGATACTGAGGATGGAGGGTGGTAGGTTCAAACCCAGCCCCAGACAAACTGTGAAAAAAAATAGCCAGGCTCTGTGGCGGGCGCCTGTACTCCCAGCTACTCGGGAGGCTGAGGCAAGAGAATCACCTAAGCCCAGGAGTTGGAGGTTGCTGTGAGCTGTGTGATGCCACTGCACTCTACCGCAGGCGCTCTGCCACACTTTAATGAGGGTGATAGAGTGAGACTTTGTCTCTACAAAAAACAAAAAACTCTAGGATATCTATGAAATGACTTTCTGTAATCTGATTGGAGATACAATGTAAGTCTGCATATATATGTACACATAACCCATGCATGTTACATTTAAACTAAGGATACCTCTGAATTATGAGGTGCTGTTATACATTGACCAGAGTTAAGAATATCCCTTTAAAGTGTGTTGACATTTAATTGACCTTTGAAATTTCATTCTGTTAATCATACTCAAAGTGCTAAAGCTATGGTTGACTGCTCTGGTGTTTTTACATTCATTCGTGCTTAGCATATAAATTCTTCAGCATAATTGCTACTTATTTAGCAAGAGTTTCCTTTCTTCTCTGAAAATGTGAGTTGTGCTTGTATTTTTCTGCTTTTTTTTTTTTTTTATCTTTGCTTCAGGCTGTGTAGCATTAGAGGTTTGAATTAAAATGCTTTCCTGTCATTAGTTGTATGGGGTGTGGCTTCTTAATATAGAAGTAATAGAAATTTCTTGCTTACACAAAGCACAGTTTTCTTCCTGCCGAAGTTAGAACTCTAAGTTACAATGCTAAAATTTAGACAAGCTTAACACTTCAAAATTATATACGTATATATGTGTGTGTGTGTGTGTGTTGTATATAAATTTTTTGGAAATCTTTCAGTTGCATTTGTGTAGGTTAAAACTGTCTGTGCTAATAATTTTTACTAAGCAGGATTTTATCATCCATTTTTAAATAAAAACTCTATTATATTCCTTGAATTTCTATGAGTAGAGTTCTTTTTTTATTCTAAACAAAAGGCAAATATATTTATTTTTAAAATCTTCACCTTCTGTTACTATTACCTAGAGATTATCTTTTAAAATGTTTATAAATTTCTGGGTCTTAAATTTTTGAAATCAGTCTCTGGCAGTGAATTTAATATGGTCTAATTTTAATAAGTGGTCTTACAAGTTTCTTTTTTTTAAGTCATTGCTATGTACATTAATACAGTCATGGGGTACAGTGTGCTGTTTTTATATACAATTTGAAAATTTTTCATCAAACTGGTTAACGTAGCCTTCATGTCATTTTCTTAGTTATTATGTTCAGACATTTATATTCTACATTTAGAAAGATTCATATGCACCCTTATAAGATGCACCATAGGTGAGATCCCACCACTCACTCTTCCTCTATCTATCCCTTCCCCTCCCTCTCCTCTTTCCCCATATTCTTGGGCTATAATTGGGTTATAGCTTTCCTATGAAAGCTGTAAGTTAGTTTCATAATAGGGCTGAGTACATTGGATACTTTTTCTTTTATTCTTGAGATACTTTGCTAAGAAGAATATTTTCTAGCTCCATCCATGTAAACATGAAGGAGGTAAAGTCTCCATCCTTCTTTAGGGCTGCATAGTATTCCATGGTGTATGTATACCACAGTTTATTGATCCATTCATGGATTGATGGGCACCTGAGCTTCTTCCATGACCTAGCAATTATGAATTAGGCTGCAATAAACATTCTGGTACAGTCTTACAAATTTCTAAGTTGATATTTCTAATGACCAGGGAAGAGTAAACTCTTTGCTAAATTTTGATATAAAAATAAAAACATAATTGCCAATTTCTGATAAGTTATCTTTGAGACTTTAGACATGTTTTGGGGACATTTTTACCTTAAAAACAGTTTTTACAGAGGACAAAGTGTAAGCCAGAGTTTTCACTTTTATTGAATAATTTTATATTTCCCATATAGGTCCATATTCAACATGCATTTTCTTCTCTGTTTATAACAGAGATTTGATGATAAGATTTGATGTCACTATTTAATTTACTTATCTATATATTACAAGCATGGTAGATAATCCCATTGTCATGAGGATGACC